GACATCCACATTGTGGGGGCTCAGTATCTGCTCATGTTAAGTTTTACTCCAATACTCCCACTTTCAAACAGTACACAGTGTACGTAAATTGCCCTTAACAGAAAAAATAAATCTATATCCTGTCAGTAGTAACAAGCTGTTGTGCACATAAAGCGTCTAAAATTGAAAGAATGCATGAATGAATAAATCAATTAAATAAATAAATAAACTAGAACGGGCTGTTTCTGCTAAACAGCTGTGAGCGTGCCTAATGCTGAATGGAGGCACCAGAAGATGCCAAAGATGCTGAAAAAGACACGAACAAAAAAAAAAACATCAGCATAAGAGAACACTGAAATGAGGCAAAAAGTCATTCGAAAGTAGAATAAAAATGGCTGAAGGATACTTTAAAGATAACCTGAAGAGTGGAAAAAGATTGGATATAGGATTAGAAAAAGAAAAAGATTAGCAAAAGACCGTGAGATTTTCATAAATGTACAAAAAGACTGTAACCAATTGGGAAAGGGGAAAAGTTAGCTGCAAAACAGATGTAAGCTGGACAAATTAGAAGAGAAAAGGACAAAAGAGGCTAAGTTGAAGCTTCAACACATGTGAATCCAACTTTAATGGAGTTTCACATCAAGCTAACCATCACAGTATAAAGAAGGTCAAAGGTCAGGAACTTCTCTATTTGAGGAGACAGCTCAAGACCATTTGAAGACAAAACTAAAGAGTTCTAATGAAAACGCCAAATGAATCAGATGAGCACTTTTCTGAAGTGTGGAAAAAAGAAACACAGACAGAAGAAGGTTGGAAATGATCAGAATTAGGTTTAACATGACTCACCAAGTCTCTCCACAGGACAGAACTGGAGCTGAGACGTTAAAATGGAGGTTTGAGACAGAGCTGGACGGTCCAGCATGAGTGTTTGTGTGTGCGGTTGTGTGTTTCCTGCATTAAATGTGTGCGTTCCTGTGTATTGCTGTGTGTTTATATATGCTAGCTGCATGTGTGTGCGTGAATGACACACCGAGCGGAGCAGTCATTAGTCGTCATGGTGACGGCCCCAGCTGAAGCCAATGAGACAATCATGGAGCTCTGGTCAAAAGCTGGCGCAACAGCCAAAAAGTTCCCCTCACATTCTGACCCCCTGAGCCAAACCTGGAAGAGCCCCGTCGATTCCGTCGATGCCGGGAGCGTCCGGAGAGATTCAGGATCGCGTCGGTGTTTTTCTTTTTTAAATTGAGCCAGAAATACGCCAACGGGTGCAATTTCAAAATGTGAGACTTTTCTGGTCTGTTGAAATTTTTGGCCCGATTTTAGCGTTGATTTTCGATGTAATCCTGGTAGCTCAACTCCAACTGTGGAGGTCCCTGGTCAATGTAGTTACATTCCCTGAAAGAGGACAAATTTTCCCACGTTTTATGGTATAATTTGTGTGTGAAAGTTGAAGAATGTGGAAGTAATCTGAAGGTGTTTGAAGATTTTTGATGAATGGAACTGGCATTTGGCAATGGCTGAATGCGTTTTTAAAAGTTGAATTTTACTTCTAGAATTGTATTTTATTCCTAGCTTAAAGAAGGCAGAATTTCAGGGACGGCAGCTCAGACCTGATTCCCAGCAGAGTTTTGTGTGCGTGGGAAACCGTGGTGTGTCACGCCAATCCTAACGGCAAAAAAAAAAAAAGCCTTGATTTTCCTGCTTCCTCCTTCTCGTCCACCTCCGGGGTTGTTACATAACTCCACATGCTGCAGCACCACTTCCAGCTCCAGGAAGACACCACGTCCGTGCCCTCTGAGAACAGTCAACGGCTAAAAGTGGCAGCAGGGACAACCGTTCACTTTGTCTCTGTCAGCATCTTTTCAAGACGTTCAGACACAGGAGAGAACGAACCCCTTGCTTACTGCGCAGAAAGTAGTTTCTGTTACACAGAAAAGACTGACATTTTTACCTAAAGCTCTTAGGGTAACATTGCACAATCCAAAAACATACAATTAAATTAGGTTTCTTTTCATTTCCGTCGTAATTCAGCCCTCCATCGGACCTATTGCCACTGATTTTCAATCCATTTCTGGCGTAATTCGGCATAGCTCAGCCTTTTTTCTCAACGTTTTCCTTCCAGATTAAGGGCTTCTTGTAAAAGCCACCCTTCCAAAATAGACTATTTCTAATGGGGCCAAGAGCAAATAGATCAACTGAGGGACCAGGTGCATCTCAGGGTCCAGTCTCAGGTCATATTTAGATACTCCTGATCTATTGTAGATCATTTTTTTACCTTCTTCTGCTATATTCCTGTCTAGTTACCAACACGTTTAAAAAGGACACCATGTTTTTAGCTAATACCTTATTGGGAATCGCCTCACAGCAGAAAAAATACAAGTTCAGCTGTCAAACTGTTGCCAAACACACACCCTGCCGGGGACAATGTCCCTCAAGATTGTTTTAAACTGGTAACTCAGTTACCTTCTCTGTTTGAAACTGGTTCACCAACTGACCCAATAAGCCAATCAGTTGGTAAACTCACACATATTTCCTATTAAATCATCAAATGGTCAACTAATTGGATTAAAAATTAGTCAAAAAGCAACCCAAAGCACACATGTCTGACCTGGTTACAAGAGTCCTCTAAAGAGAAAAACATGCACCCCAAGATTACTGGACTGGCTTTATGAAGGCAGCAAAAAATAAAAATACCATAGATCATACATACTATTTCATCCATCTAGCTTTCTTCAATGTTCAATACATTAGCTTTGATTTTTTTTTCCAAAAAGCTGTCTTTAAAGATGCTTTTTTTTCTGGTTTTATTCCCATAAGCCACATGTGAGTTTTTGGTGCATCTCTCCCAGCTACATCAGAGAAACCCAGACAGGCACGCTCTCTCTGCGGGATCCCAGAGGCCGGTTCAGATGTGGGTGTAGAAAAATTCCTGCCTTATTTATGTAACCTTTGCTGAGCGGCAGTCAGAGGCTTTTGCTGCAGCCCGTCTGGAAGTCTTCAGTTTCCTCTTATCCACTCCATCGGGCCGGAGCTTAAAGCATCCAAATTCATCAGAATGGGGGGGGGGGGCTGGGCTGCACTGGACTGAACTGGACTGGGAGAAAAACCATCCACAGCCATTTCTTTTACATTTCCCCCAGTTCCATTCCATTTTTTTTTTAGGAAACCAGTTGATGGGGTTAATAATGACCTGAACGCATCACTAGAATGGAAGTCAGGGAAGATTTAAGAGTAGTTCTTCTATAAATCCAGAAATCATATATACACTAATTTGCTACATGTATATGGTGATTTATCTTTGAAAAACTCTAAACTGGGGCTGGCAGATGAAGATGTGCCCCCACTGAGTCCATGTGACCGCTCATGTGCCTTCATCCTCCTCATCCTCGCTGTAAAGGCAATAGGCTTTCAACGATGCCAACAAATCTGACCGGTGTTCCAAACTGTGACCCCTCACCCCCCCACCACCACCACCATCCGTCCATATGCGGCTTTACCGAAGAAAACCCCGCGTGACCATCACACGCGAACGCCTCTCGCGCGGACAAACAGTTCCACGAGACACTTTTCTGGGGGTCCTCACTCACCTAAAGCGGGGAGAGTCTTTAACGCAGTCTTCAAAATCCACCGTCATTTTGGACCGGAGAGTAGGTTCCAAAGCGCTTTAAAACTCAGCTCTCATCTCCCGGGGTGGGTATTTTTTAAGAGTAGAGGCGGTAGTATCCAAACACCCGGAGAGTCTCCCGCCGTCTCCTGCCGTCTCCTGCCCCTCCCGCAGCGGTCGGCCGTCTGCCTGCGTCCCGCTCTGAGCAGCCGGAGCCGACAGTCAGTGGAAGACCCCGCGATGCCTTCTGGTGCTCAGATTATGCTCGGATTTTTAAGTTTCTTAACACCGAGGTGGGGGGGAAAGGAGAAGCTCAAGTTTCTGTAACAGTTTTAAAACACATAAAGGTTTAATCAGATCATATTGCTTGAATAAAAACTCCCCAGATTATGTATGTCACTTCTACCAAAGTAAAAGACTGTCAAAAATAATTGGAAAAGGCGATTTCTTGCCTTTCATCTGGGGCATCGTCTTAAATAATAGGGGCCATGATCAGAAAAATGCCATGTTTTTCTAATTATGTCTCACTTCAGTAGGTTGACTGTACTATTTTTCGGATCCTTGTTCTATTCATCGTCGCGTCTATGATAAAACATGACCGCACCTCATTCATACCAGCAACAATATCTTGATCAACAAAGACATGGAAAAAACGCATGCAGTCATACAGACACTTATTTCATTTGAGAAAACTATTTTCTTGTACACAAGCAATATTTTTGGCCCAACTGTATTCTCAATACGCTCATTTAAAAAAAAGTTTTAAAGTCTTAGAATTAACTGGATTCTCAATAGGCCTACAATGCATTACATCAACTGAGCTATTTTGTGAACCCTACTTAAACTTACATATTCACAATATTTCAATACCTTATATCCTTTCTTAAGCCATAACCAATGATATAATAAAACACAGCATGATATGAGGAGCTGTATTTGTAAAAGAAATTCAGTAAGTTGTAAAAAAAGATGCATAGATTTATCTATGCATGTATTTCAAAAGAGTAATCAAACACTACTCCCACATTTAGATTAAACTTCCTACTTATTCAAGACTAGGAGCAATCACAGTTAAAGTTGTTTTCCATACAAGTCGCGTGAACTCTGAAAGATTCTGATAGCATTGAAAGCAACACGGCAGAACGCTGACGTCACGTCCTAGCACACTTGAATGAAGGCGGCCAAAAAATCCCCGCCCTGGTCGCATTTTTTAAGGTTTAAGAACAATTTAAGAAGAAAAACGTCAAAGTTCCAACATCCAGTTGTTTTGGACTTTACACCAGTCTGCTGTTTTCGTAGACATACTCGATTTTATGCTGATTTTATCTGGAATTATAATGGTGATAAGGTCCATTAATCAGAAAACAGGTGGAATTAATATTTCTTATCCTCACTTTCAGACATTGAATGGGCAAACATGAATGGTAACTTCATTTGTTGATCCTTCCTATCCTCTGATGTAGTAAGTTATGTTTTCCATGCCAGATCACTGCATCACTGCTATGTGACATGCAGAATTTCAAGTTAGAGCTGATTCACCCAGCCAACTGCTTGATTCGAAAGAAAGATAGACTACCCCTCCTAAGTCCTTACTGTAGTTTCCCACATAGCTGGTTCATAAAAACAAAAGTTAAGTTACTCAATTTCCCTACCAAGGATTTCAGCGCAGGAATAAATGGTGTCATTGTTCCCTCCTGCTCTGGTTTTGAAAAGACTTCAGATCAGGACATGAATGGAGATGATGTCACTTTCTCTTTGCCAGTTTAACTGATTATTTTCTCTGGAATTTTGTTTGCTAAGACAAACAGTGGGACCCTATTGGGTGTTACAGACCATAACAGACACTCAGTCACTGTTCTGAAGTAATTCATTATTCTGAGAGGATGAATTAAAGAATGAACAATAAAGATATTTGCAGTCTCAAGAGAGTAGACATATCCGGTATTGTACGTAAACCAGGGGATATTCCTGGGATTTTTTACTTTAGATTTCCTATTTGCTTACCGGCACACATTTCTAAACTGTAATATTTGACGTTCTCTTTGAAAAACATTATTTTACAATGTTAGAACCGGTTTCTAACATCTTGAAATGCATCTATAAAACAGAGCAAGGTTATAGATGTCCCATTTTCTTTAGAGGGAAAATGTAAAAATTCTTTATCGGGAATGGACTTAATATATTGCCCTAAACTGAACACAATCACCTTTAAATACGGCATTATACCCTCTCAGTGCCTGGGTTTGGGACTTTCATTCCTTTCAAGAAGATGCCGGAATACCTTCTAGTCTGACTCTAATATACATTTCCACCGTGTGGTATTCCGTCCTAAATACCTCCAAACAGAAAATAATGCTGAATTTGGACATGATTAATGTCATGCTCTTATTTTTTTGCATTTATTAGAGTGGTCTTGAAAGCCTTTCCAAAGGGATCCCTCTCCTGTTTGGTTAAACTGATGAATGTGACATCTTAATTAATACAGAGCTCATTGAGGAATCAGGGATCATGGCTTTCCAACTCAGTCTTGCTTTGCTTTTTCCAGTAGTCACTCCTAAAACACTTACCTTTCATCCAAAAGAAATGAACAAAAGTGGTGCAGTCATAATTACAATTACCTGCTATTAATTAAAGATAACTCCGACCTCATTTTGTGCACCGAGTTGCGCCACATCCCAATTGGCTTAGGTGTTTCATGCCTGTAATTCAAGAAACAGCTAATAAATTAAAATAGGTTACAGAACCAAATATGAAATATAAAAAACATACCCATTAGAAAACATAAACATAAACAGATGTGCATTTCTGTAAATGTATGTTTTATACACTGTCAAAGTATTATCTGTTTCAAGTTCCTCTTTAAACTTTTATTTGGCTGGATTAAGCTATGGTCACAAAGGTGTTGCTATGGAAACCAAATGACTTAATGAAGAATTCAAAGCAATAACCCACAAATTAATCTTAGATTAATGTAATTCCTATCATCTTGTTCACAGCTGGGATCATTTCATTTCTAAAGGCTTTGTTTCCTCTGCCAATGCTCATAAATATCAGAACTGCATAGATAAATAATGGAGCTCTACTCTTGTTTCATAAAAATAGCTTTTCATCTGCAAGTCCTCCTCTTCCAAACTAAAATAGCCATTTTCCTGTCTTTTGTCTGCTCCTCACAATCTCCTCTGTCCCTCTTTCTTCTTACCCCAGCAGCTTTTACAAATCTGAGATCAAAGCACCAAACCGCTTCTTTAGAAATCTGTACAGTCAGCATCGGACTGATTCCCAAAGTGCGTGCTGCAGGAAAAACTTCAAACTTCATAGACAGCGTGTGTTTAATCTTCCCTGCTCGAGATTTTATTACAGCAATGCAAAATATTAGCATGTGATGTTTAGAACTATTTTGGTAGTTAGATTTAACCAAAGAAATGTCTTTCATTGCACTTTGTTTTTAAAAAATGAGCTATCAATCCATCCATCTATCTATCTATCTATCTATCTATCTATCTATCTATCTATCTATC